TATAACTTTTTTTCTGATACCCTTTGTATATTTGATTGATATTCAACTATTACAATATTTGACATAAAAATGAATCGCATATTATCTAATTATAGGTCTGTAAAATCATATAGTATATAATCTACTATAAATCGTTATAAATTGCTATAAATCGTTAAATTATTATAATCACTAACTATGTCGGGTTTTGATATCTCTATCATTCTTGATTAAAAAGATCGAACATTACCCAAACCCTTTAATATTCGTCCAGGTTTTGATATGAGGTATGTCGTGTCATATATTGGAAATTATTTTGCTTTTGATGGAAAACGATATGATGAACTCTTCGATAATGAGAGATCATTTGATACTTTATCTATCGTAAAACAGAATGAAACACCAGTTCAATGGGCAATATGGGTCAGAGTACCTTTACAGAATTTATTAAATGTTAGAAATTTTAGTGTATATCACCGGCTATGTTTATTCGCATCATTTGGTAAAGGTAAATTTAATAATTTCAATTATTATAGACCAAGAATCCACAAAACTCATATGGCTATTTGTTTTGGTTGCTGGAAACTTATAAAAATCGATGATGTACAGCCCAAAAAATCATTTCATTTTACTAGACAAAGATATGTTGATTGCCTTGTACCTAGTGATTTGATAATCAATCATTGGGATAAAGAATATGATAAACCGAAAACTGATTTCAGAAAAGCAAGAATTATACAAACTGCTTATCGAAATTATAAGAAAAAGCCTGAATCAGAATCCAATAGAATCTGGGAAGCAGTCAGAAATGACGATACTTCTGAGAACAAGAAGTTTTTAGGTATAACTTCTCGAAAAATAAGACTTCCTGAAACTTCTTATGTTGGATATGGTGGGAGAACGATTCTAGCTAAAGATATACCAGTATATGCTCGAAATTTACCTGAAATGTTTTATTGTTATAGTTCTAAAAGTTGGGCAGATGCTAAGAAATATCGATTACAAAAAAGATTATATAACCACATTTTAAATTTATTAGAACAACAAGGATACAGAATAATCAATAGTAAGCAATGATATGTAATATTAAAGTGGATACAAAATCCTGAATTATATATTGATAATAAATACCTGCCATTTATTAGAAACGAATAAATTATTATAGACAGTTCATGAAGAAATGCATCAAATTATCAATCTATAGCTTCACAATACACATATCTATATATTCATATATATCTATTGAAAATAAATTTTATTTCATTATCTTTTTTAAAGATAAGCTAGTAACATTTTTTACTTTGATTTTTATATATAGTTATTTTACATGGCACAAAAATTTCTCTCAGTACAAATAGAATTTATTTATTTTTCAACATCTACTTCAACCTTAATCAGGCTAGATACTGTTAGCTATTTCATTGGAGAATAGTAGTAAATAAGATGTTAAAATCATCCACCCCAATTCCAATCACGGCTAGATATGGACAGCTTCTTAATAGAAGTAGCGAGTAGAATATACTTATATTGTTGTATTAATAAATAACCGAAAAAATAATTATTCGATTGTTATGCCTTATTTTATCTAATTTTAAAGTATTATATCTTCTGGAATATCACACTGGTTAGGCAGAATATTTATTATCTTTTAATCCCTTGATCTCCTTTTCTAGATCAAGAGGGGTGTCCCATCGAAGTGAGAAAGACTTAGATCTGGGTTTATTCAGATCTATAACTATAAACTCTTTTTGCCTCAAATAACTGTCAATAATTTTTGAAGCTTTTCGCGGATCTATATCAGTGTAAGAACTTATAATATCTGCAAGTTTTCGAATAAAGCCTCCACCATTAAAGAGAACAATGTGAGTAGCATTTTCACGAATATCTATTAGGATTTTGTGAAATTTCTGAGCAACATAAATTAAGGAAATATTCTCATGATGATCTCGAGTAAAAAATGGAATAATTTTTTCTGTATAGCTAGAGGGTCAGAGTAAAGATCTTCAAATATTGCTAATGTACTTCTTTTAGTATTAAACTTTTTGGGATCTGAGATTTTATCAGAAGATAGTGTAGAAAATGTGACATCTTCATAATAGGGCTTTGATTTGTCTTGGGCAAGATATTTATAAAAATCTTGAACTATTTTATATTTTGGCTCATTTAAATAATGTCCAAAAAGAAATACATCATTGCATTTAACATTGTGTTCCCCTATCTTAGAATGTTTTTTCTTCTTAAACATGTAATAAAATTTGGGCATTGTTAGCAAGTTTAAATTCATATTGGTCTTATCTGAATTGCTAGCTCCTGTTATCACGATACGAAAAGGCCATGCTGGTGCATCTTTATCTCCCTGGTATTTTTCGAAGGTTTTACCTCATCTACAGCAAATACACAATATAACATCTTTTTGTTATGAATATATATTATGTTTTTTTATTCTGACGAATAATCTGATTTTGACATGCTATTTATATCTATATTTTGTAGATAATCTTTCTCTTGCAATTTGCATTTTATATATTAGAATAAATCAGCACCATACAGTATTTCAATAAGATCTATATCTCGCTCTTTGTATATTTCCTGCTTTTTTTGGTCACGTTTTCTTTGATTATCTATACTCTTTATTAGTTTTCATATATTCGGCTAACCTTTCCTTAAGCTTTTTTCCAAAAGCAAAATAGCTCCTAATAACTTTCTGATTTGTGGTTCCCACTTGTTCTTCGGCCTTAATAAGCGCATTGTACAGGTCAATAAAATTACCCAAGCTCGTGACTGTTTGCAAAGAGGTGGTACTCAAAGTGCTTGGTAATGATAACTCCTTGATAAGTTTTTTTAACATGGATGAATCTTCATTTTTTATCTTCACTTTCTTGCTAGATGATTTGCTAATAGATTCATAACACGCTTTTTAGACAGACTTGGGAAGAAGGGTCAGTAAATAATGACGGGGATATATCCATCAAATCGTTAATATTTTGACTTCCAGGCATGCTGTCAACCGTAGATTCTATCTCCTTCTTGCAATTGGGCTTTGGGCATATTGAACGTTTCTTGATAGAAGTTTTGATACAATCACGATGATATATATGGCCACAGACCAGTATGGTAATCGGGTTTTTTATTTCAAACAAAAAAAGTTCTTGATTGCATAACGAGCATGGGTCTAGTTCAGGTATATTAATATCATTTGCAATTTTTTCTGGAGATGAATTTTTAAGAACATTTAATGCAAGTGTTTTGAGATCTGAAATATTTTGAGGTGTAGGGTTAGTAAGCCATATTCAAATTTTTTATAATCGAAGGGTTAGTATATGTATTAAGGGTTATAGACAGATAAGTATTTGCAATTAATCATATACTTAGCTCGTTTTTATAATAAATACTTTCACAACTAAAAAATTTAATTTGCAGATTTCATAAACTAATTTCGGGTT